TTTTAATTCTGCCTGAATCAGCCCTCTCCCATGAGTGAAACAATCTTGCCTGCAGATTGAGGGGGGTGGGAGGGATTTGAACATTAATCTGATGTAGATTATACATCCGCCTCCCTCTCTCCCCTTCTCACTCTCTCTCCCTCTCTCTCCCTCTTTCTGTCTGTTTCTCTCCCCTCCCTCTCCTTCCTGCTTCATCTCTTCAAGAAAGTGAACATAAAGTAAAAGCACGGAGAGAGAGAGGCAGAGAGAGAAAAAGCTCCCTGAAGAGGGAAGCCCCAGCAGCCAGTAGCTGTTTGGATTTGCCTTGCGCTGCCTTTCTTGCTTTGCTCCCAAGGAATACCTTTAATGGGATCATTTGCTTCAGTTCCTTTATAACCAAGTCCACCGGAAAGGCAGACTCAACATATTATGGGCAACTGTGTGAAGTCTCCACTGAGAAACCTCTCGAAAAAGGTATGTTCCCCGAATCAAAGTGCATTGTGCGTTTCCACCCCCACTTCTTGGGATGGGTGACGTCGTGGGCAGATGGGAAAGGGAGGTGGGAGAGACACAAGGATGTGTACAAAGGGTTCAGATCTCTGCAGGAGTCTTTTCTGTAAGAGCTGCACGTGCAGGTGCAGCCACTAGAGCCTGGGATGCCACAACGTGAGCGTAAATCAGTGTGTGCACACGCATGCATGTGAGTAGGTGTGTGCCCCGCTCTGCGGGTGTGTAGCTGACCACTGCTGTGTGTGTGCAGGTTTGTTCCTGCTGATGTGCACAACACACTGACGTGCACTGTCAGTGCGTCTTAATGTGTGTGTATACCTGTGAGTTTGTGTACGTGTGCACACGTGTGTGCATGTGCTTCAACCAAGAGGTGTCTGCATGTATCCGGTTGCGTGTGTCGTTTCTCCTGGGACGTACACTCATGGACACGTGAATGGGTGTGTATTCATATGTATTAATGAGCATATCTGTAGTATGTGTGTGTCCTTTATGTCTCTACATACTCACTCGGAGGTGTGTGAGCAGGTGGCAGTGTTTGTTGTGTGTGTGCACGTGGGGAAGGTGTGTGACACACCTATCCCTGCTCCTATGGTTGTGTGTGCCTCTGTCTCATTGTGCACGTCCTCACAGAAGTCTGCCTGTAGGCAGACATATGTTTTGATGTGTATCCATCCCTCCATAAGCACATATTGCTGGTATGCATTTGGGTACAGAAGCATGCTTTTCTGCAATCTGTCCATGCCTTAGAGGTATGGACAGAGGCATTAGCTGCGTGTTCATGCATTGTGTTGCACATCAGTATGGACCGTGTGTGTGCTGCACTTCATATGCAAGCTGCCACATGTGCCTGTTAGGCTCAAGTCCACAAACTGCTCTGTGCTGAGGTTTTAAAATGATCCCAGGATGAATTAGATTCAGGAATTATTCTGCTCTTAGGGACCAGACTGCAGTGAGAACAATTTGTCCTAGTGGTAGTTCTTGTCTGACTGCAGAAGGTGTTGCAGCACCGTGTACCTGTCAGCCACACAGCTCTTGCTTGGCATTGCTGAAAATGCAATAACTCAGCAAAAAGCTGGTTGATTCACTCCTCATGAAGTTAGGCTAAGCATCTGAAAGATTTAAATAAAGAGCTACATCTACAGAGACCTCGCTGGCAGCAAATGCCACTGCCATCGGGATGCTGCATGCAGGAGACCTTGCAGTGAGCAAAGCACTTCTCTGCTAGGGAGGCATAAGTTGTGCCTCTTTTGTGTGGGAGCACAGTTTACTTGTTAGCAGCTGTAACAATGATATAGCTGTGGCATGAAGGGCATAGCTGGGATACATGAGGAGGGAGTTCATCATTGAGCAGTTTGATAGTGCCAAGACCAGTCCCTGGGTCAGGGTGACCTTGAGGAAGAGGCAGTAGGTGAGGGTTACCCAAATGTACATCTGAAAGAAGAGCAGTTTGGCTATTCCTAGGTTGCCTCCGACTTGCAGTGAAAGGAGCTGGCTGCAGCTGTGCTCAACATGATCAAGGAAATTGCAATTAAAGTCTGAAGTGTGGCCGGGCTTCTTGAATCAAAATAGACTGAATATCTTATAAACTCTGTGTGATCAGTCTTTTAGGTAATTTATGCTTTCATTCCTAAAAGCTGCTTCAAATACCGCACTTTAGAAGTGCTATTGAGAAGGCCTGGGAAGGCAGGACTAAAGAGAGGAAGTTAGGAAGCTGAGTTAGAGAATTCTCAGACTTCAGCCCAGCCTCAGGAACTAATCCTGAGATATCCTGGGGGCTGTGCTGTCCTCTAGGCTGTAACACACGTGGTTATGGTGGATACTTGGTAGGTCACTCATGCTGTACATCTTCATTTGGCTTTTTTGTGATCCTTGTCTTTTTTTCTCAGATTTTACCTGGGACAAACTCAGAGGAAACACAGTGAGGAAGATGAGGAGCTGGGCCCTGGGTGGTACAAAGTTATATTGGGAAGAAGTAATCGTTCTCTGCCTGCTACTCTCCTATGTCCTCACCCCACTCCTGTCTCCCTAAAGCTCCTTTGAATGTGAATGTCCTGGGACCACAGCACTACTTTGCTGTTAAGCCTGAACTACCAGGCACAGCTTTCTTACTGCTCTGATCTTCACCATGTGCTCCTGCCTCAGCGGGTGGAAACAGAGTTAAGATGATTAGGAGAATGGCTTAGGAGTCTGAAGGCCTTTTGCTCATAATATCCATTCCTGAGGGAGAGTTGTTGGAGGGACATTACCTGCTCATACTTTTCTTGCACTTCACTGAAATGGTAACGAGGGACTGTAGATGTGTGTGAAAGCTGAACTTGGGTAGCAGGTTTTATTCTCTTCAGTATGTGACTTCAACCAGAAAGCTGGGGACTCTTTCCAGGCACTGGCTAGCCTGGTCAGAGACTCATCCTTGTCTGTTTGGTGATATTGTTCAGGCTTCTGTCTCCCTGTGCTGGCAGGCAGCAGGCTTGCTTTCCCCAGGGACCCTGCTGGCCAGCCTGGTGCCTTTCTATCCTCAGTGGTGATGAAGAGGCACCTCTGGACCTGGTGCTCAGCAAAGACCCTCTGGCATGCAAACCCTGTCCTTTCCTTGTATGTTCCTTGTTGTGCATGTTGCCTTCCCCTTCTAACAGGCAGCTGACATTGCTTTGCACCCCTATCACAGCTTCCCTCTTGGCTCTGCCTGGATAAAGGAGGAGTGTGATAGAGGGGATAATTTCAGGAGAAACCTGGGAGGCTGCTAGGCAGAGGGAATCCTGCCTGGAGCTGCCAGGCAGGGCAGGAGCCCCTGCAGGTTTCTCACTAAGAGACCTGGTGCTGGGTGTCTGGCCAGCTTTTCACTGCTCCTGGCAACTGCTTCATCAAACTGGCAATATTTACAGACGCAGGAAAATAATGGGATGATCATCCTTCAGTACTGCTGAGTGAATTGGCAGGAAGCTCAATTAACTGGAAGGGTCAGAAAACAAGGATTAGGTGCAGGCTATGGGGCCTTTGGTCTTTCATCTGTCTTTATTGGAATTAAATGCAGAACTGATGTGGGCTATTTTAAGTGAGCTGTATTATTTGCAATACTAAACTGGAAAAATGTGCCAAGAATAAAAGCTGGTAATTTTTGAAATGACATTGTGCTGATGTCATGAAGCTATGCAGCTCAACACAGATGCCATGATATTTAGCTGAGCTGGTAATATGCCAGTTGTGGATGGATGCTCATCTTTCAGGTTTTTAAGGACAAGTGTCCTATGTGTCACACTTAATTGGAGACAGATTTTCACCTTTTCCATGACTGCAACGAAAATGCTTTTCTGCTTGATGATTTTCTTTCTTCGCAGCTTGCTTTTTGGGTTGCTTTTGTTTTGATGCTTAATATTCACATGACATTACACATGAGCAGATTGGTGTAGGACCATAAAAATGCAAACAATGAGCCATGTGTGCGAGGCAATAGCACACGGTAGACACAGCAAGTAGATACAATAGGTTTGGATAAGTGTGAGAGAGGTGTGTGTGTGTGTGTGTGTGAGATGCTTTAGCCTGAAAAAGCACCTCAGTCTTTAAGGAAAGGGTTAATGGAGGAGACAGTGACAATTGACAGCATCTCTGATCACCCCTGGGAACACTGGCTGTAAAAGTAGTCATTCCTGAAGAGGAATCTGATGTATGATTAATGTTTATTCTATAAAACCAAGGGTCCTGTGGGCTGTGCTGGCTTTTTATAGCTGCATGGGAATATCAGGATAAGATGTTTTTTGCAGAGCCAGGGAAATGCATTTCTATAAAAGGAAAGCAGTGCCTCCTTATAAAATCCAGTGCTGGATTCTGTTCTGGAGCCCTAGCTTAGCAGGACGTGCACTTACAAAAAATGTGCAAATGCAAACAGACAAAATTGTTGTGCTTGTGACTGCCCTCCACTTGGAAATGTAAGCAATGAGAAGAGGTCAGTGCAGTAACTGCCTGAAACCTCGAGGATGTAACTAATTAGCACTGGAACAAGGAGTGTGAGCCCACTGCTGGCAGAGCCACCTGATGCCCTAAAAGGCCTTTTGATAACACTGTATCGTGCGTGATGCTGGCTGATGAAACGTAAAGTGGAGCCAAAGTGTCTGGGGAGGCCCTGCCTCGCCTCCCAGGGAGGCTCTGGCCAACACAGCTCTGCCAGCAGCCCTGCCCAGGGCACACGTCCCATTGTGCCGGGCTGTGCTTGGCCTTCGCAGCTCACTTGAGGAATCATTAACTCTGGAGCCGGCAGTGGGAGCTCAGCCCTTTGGGCTCTCTCTGGGTAGATGTGAGAGTTGAGAGTTTGATGTCGTTTCAAAGCGAAATTCTCTCGGTTGGCTGTACTTCTATCAGCTTTTGAAAGTGAACTGCTGGACTTACTGCTTCTATACAGCCCATAATAGACCAGTGGGGGGGGACGCAGCGTGGACCAGATGAAGGAAATTTAGCAATAATGGCTCTGCGAGGCGGTTCAGTAAATCTTCAGAGGAAAGGCTGGGTGAGACAGGGAGGTAACGTCCTCTGTTGTGTTGTTTGCTTGCTGCTGGTTGGCTGGGAAGATCCGCCATGAGGAGAAGACGTGCTATAAGGCTGTCCAGACGAGCGAAGAGGGGCCGTCGGAGTACCAGGGTCCGCTCATGGTGCTGGCCCAGAACTGCGCCGTCATGCACAACCTGCTGGGGCCAGCATGCATCTTCCTGAGGAAGGGCTTCGCAGAAAACAGGCAGCCTGTACGTAAGTTACACCCTGCCGGGCGAGACACGCACTAAGCCACGTGGACCTGAGCCAGGGATGCGGGGCTGCCCACGTGCTCCCTGTGCATGGAGCTCTGTAACCCCCGGCCCTGGGCCTCGAGCATCCCGGCTCCAGCAAATGCAATCACAAGCAAATGTCTAACCTGAAGGATGTGCAAAGATATCCCTGTGCCTAAACACCGAGGCAGGGGGATTCTAAATGCGCAGCTGTGAAAGATAGATCAAAGCCTAAATTCAAGCAGATGAAGTTCCATGGATTTAGGAGAAGAATTTAGGACCTCGGGTCTTACACAATCAGATGGACTCCAGAGGAGTCCGGTATTCAAAGCTGTTGTTCCAGCAGGACATCCACCTCACATTCCCAGAGGCTCAGATTAGCATTTAGGGCTAAATAGTCGCTTTCATGCAAATCAGGGCATCCATATTGGGAACAAGCTGTCCCACAGAGATGCCCGTATTTGTTACTGTTGCTGTCAGCTCACAGCAAGCATGCTAATACAAGCAGAAACGAGCATGCATCTGCCTCCTTGCAGAAGCCCAAATGTAGTCTCTCATACACTCTTATACGCAGCCTGACTCTGCAGCATTCCCAGCCAAAGAAACCAAAGAACATCAGTCTGTCCTCATGTTGGTAAATAGTGCCAGACGGCCAAATGCTATTGCCTGTGCACACAGATAGAAAGCAAAAACACATCCATCCACTCAGTCGCACCTATTTGTGACTGTGTTCGTGTGTATCTGCACATAAGCAATGAAAAAATATATTTGTGTATAAATTCAAATGTATGCATGTGGACATGTTAAATACACAGGGACATGCACCTCAATATCATACCTTTTCAAGAAGTAATGTGTGTTTTTGCACATAAAGTTCGATTCTGACACCAGTGTATTTAAAGACATGCACAAAGAAGCCTGATGAGTGAGGATGTGCAATGTTACAGACTAATCCAGTGCATTTCATATTCTTCTGATAAAACAAAACCCCAGTGACCTGACAGAGCTTCCTTGCCCCTCTAGGAAAAGCCTTACACAGCTGTGCACTGACACAGTCATGTACAGCTGGAGGAGACATCTAGATCTTTATTTCCAAAACCTCATTTTCAACCGACAAGCCAAAAAAAAGAACTGCAGGCAGTCATTATTGATCAGAGGGATTTTGTTCTTAATCTTCAACCACTAAATGATCACATTCCTTAAGTCAGTTCATTAAAACACGAGGTGTGACAGTGTGACACCAGCACACGGACTGGCAGTGGCCTGGACAGAGCTCCCACTGGAGGAAATGGGCCCAGCTCCTGGCAGAAGGCTCAGGCTGACAGGTAGCCACGCTCAGCCCTGCAAACTCAGCGTACCCTAAGATATTTCCAAAATAGGATTAGCAACGTCTCTGCCCTGTTGTAGAATAAATGCATCTGATAAACAGCTTTATTTTTACCGACTCTCTAGACCAACTGGATTTACTGTGCATGGAACAGAAATAAATGAGAGTAAGACCATTATGTAAATTGGACTTTCTGAGGGTCACCTCTGCTCATGTCTAGGATCTAAACTCTGAACAGTTGTGTTCCTCTTTCCATATGTTCTCCAAAAGCATTAGAGTGATTCAGCCCATTTCTTCTCGAGCTATTTTCCTCCTTTATCTTTTTTTTTTTTTCTTCCAAATTCTTTTCTCAAATTTAAACCAGAAAACCTCTCCGTGACGTTAGTTACCACTTGAGTCACATTTTTGGAGGGACGCAAACCCTCCTCCTCCTTTTGCATTCGCAGCCTGTGGCTCTGATGATAGAATCTGCATGTGCAAAGATCTGCTCGGAGCCCTGCAAACGCGAATGCCTCGGTGCGTGGAATTAGAGCTGAAGCCCTCATTTCTGACACGTGTCGGTCATGTTGCTTGCAACGTGGTGAGTGGGGAGGAGGACGGGCTTTGTGATGACTGTGCTGGAGGAAGGCCTGGGCCCGTCCTCAGGCACTCTCACAAGACAGCAGTTCTGCGGCTGTCGGTACCACGGTGGCAACCACAGCCCTGCAGCTCTGCAGTGCAGCAGGAGCCCCGGGGAGCAACGTGTGTGAGCTCTTTGCAAGGAGGTGCACGCGGTGTCGGCGCTGCCCACAGCGGTTCTCATCTGCTGCTTTATCTGAGGCAGGAGGGCAATAAAGCCCCCCGCATCCGGTACGTGGGGGGTTGGACTGCTTTATTGCTTGGCGTTAATGAAAGCAGAACAAATGGGATGACATGTTTGAAAATACCAGGTCTGTGAAGGATGAAGCTGCAGAGCCAGCATGCTTTGACTGCTCCATCCAGCGCAGAGATGCCTCTGGGAAGGTTATGAGTGGCAAGCTGGTCACTGCTCTGGCACAGCCCCTTTTGCATAGACGTAAACCAGCGTGTGTCCTAGTTTGCTGTGCACTCTGAGCAGCCGCCATTAGTTTCCAGAGGAGCCTGTGGTTACATAGCAAAGGATCATCCCTCTCAAACTGTTCAAGGGCACTGTCTCCGGGGACGTGTGGTGAGACTGCAGGACACCTGGAAGGCAAGGAGAAACTCCCCATGGCTGAGGGGAAAAGCCGAGAGTCAGACGACAAAAGAGATTGCTTTTCTGTGTTTCCAAATTCTCTGATGTTTTGGATTTGCCTGGGAGCCATGAGAGGAATTAGAAAGGGCATTTAAACCAGAAAGCAGTGCATTTCCATGCTCGTCTCTTCTTCTTGATGCAGTGTTGGAATTTTCCTATACTTTTTTATATCCTCCCCCTTCTTCCAAGAAATTCAAATTGGATGTTGCAGTGTTTCCTGAACATGGTGAATCCTTGTCCTGTTTTGTTTGTAGATGACCTTGAGGATGTATATGTTGTGTGTCTGCCTTCATGCCTGGTTCCAAAGTGCTTGCGTGAGGCTGGGGGGAAGGGGAGAGCTCCTGTCTTCCTGGGGTGACTGATTGCAGTAGATGGCATGGGGGCATTGGCTGGAGGATTGCTCCTGGCTGTCCTTGTCCCGCTGGCAGGACAGGGATCAGGCAGGGATCCAAGCAGACAGTGCTGTAGCTTCTGGTGGCAGGAGCATCTTCCAGCTATTTTGATCCGGCCGTTTCAACGGGAGCTGCAGTAGGTAGGAAATACAATCAGAGCTCTAGAGCAGCTGCAGGGCCAGTCTGTGCTCCAGGACTTGTGCTGGGGAATGACGCAAGGAGCCCTGTGATACTCACAGCACTGTCAGGTGGGGATGCCACATGCAGGGCTTATGCTGACCCAGGCTTCTTCTGTTTGGGGGAATATTCATGGCCCTGTCCAGCAGATGGGATGAAGAGGGGCTTCCACAAAAAAGCTAGGTAGATGGTATTAAACATGTCATCACCTTCTTGTTTCTTCTCTTGCTTTCTGGCTTGTCCCCAAAACTGTTTGCCCCAGCAAATGCTGTTCTGAAATTTTGTCTGTGGCAAGCAAATGACTTAAACGTAGTGTGTTCTGTTTTTGCAGGATAGAGAACTGCGTCCAGAAGAAATTGAAGGTAAAACTTGTCGCTCCTTCGGTGTCGCCTTTCTCTCTGTCCAGTAGAAACGTGCTGGCTGGCCGTTCCAGGTTGGCCCCCAGGGGGTAAAATAATTTGGGCAAATTGCTGGAATAACTCCTAGCAATCCTAGCAAAATAAATAATATGTAAAACTGCCACAGTGCTGACTGTAGAGGAATTTACAGGTAGTGCAGCGTGAGGAGGATAAATGAGGTAAAGGGAGATTGGCTGCCAGAGAAGTGCTGTACACCCAGCTCCCACGGGAAGTGTTGCAGAGCATCACAAAGTGGTTTGGCTTTAAGGAAGCTCATCCTTGCAGTCAGGACTATAGAATACAGTGCATGGGTGAAAGATGGAAAAACTTACTGCTTCCAGTTTCTTTTGGGAGTGCAGTTTAAGAGAGATCAGTCCGTGATACTTCAAAGCCTCTGCAGTCAAAGCATGCTCTCTTGTAATGAATGGGTCAGCAATGTTGCTGATAGAAGAGGTTAGCATTATTCCAGTCATTGCTTCTTCATAGGGATATCTGCTAGGAAAGTATGTGGTATCTTGGAGAGTCAGGCCTCATAAAGTGCTGCTTCTGGGGAAGTTTCTTGGAAAAAGTATTTCAGGCTGTCACTGACAATATCATTCTTTTTGGATCCACTCCTGCAGAATTAAGAGAAGCCTTTAAGGAGTTTGATAAAGACAAGGATGGGTTTATTAACTGCAGGGACCTGGGGAACTGCATGCGAACCATGGGCTACATGCCTACTGAAATGGAGCTCATAGAACTCTCCCAGCAGATCAACATGAACTGTGAGTAATATCCACCCATCTGTACCTTCCTGTGGCTGCTGTGCCCTGCATCACTGCTTTGGGCTTCTTCAGTCTCTTGTTATTTCCATCCTTTTTGTTTTTTTCCTCTCTTTTTCTTTTCCTCCCTTTTTTCATTCTCATGTTTTGCTCCCTACCATTTCTCTGTTCAGTTGTGGTTCCAAGCACTTGATGTGCTGGTTTTTTTTTGGTTTACTAAAGAATTGACTGTTTGGACTGTGTATTGTGTGAGCAACATAAGGAATAGCTTGCTTCCTATCCACCATGCTTAAATCTTTCAGATGCCCTTGATTTATTTGGACAGTCAGACATTAGTGTACACGTCATGGATGTCATCACACTGAAGCTGGTGTCAGATGGCACCATACTAAAGAAGGAGATGGGGAAGATGGAGATGCTTTGGTCAGAATGGGTGCTGGATGGGCTGTTCTGTCTGCTCTGGGTGTTTGTGCATTGGCTGTGTGCCTGCAGATGGTCTGCGAGCTGTGCTGGTGGAGTCGAGGCAAAATGTTGCAGATCTGTTGGATGCACTGTGATTGTTTGTGCCTTTTGTCTTTCACCACTGGTTTTTGTCACCACTTGTCTGTGGCAGTGTAGGATGTTACCCTTAACCAGGTGGGAAAATGAATATTTTGTGCATGCTATTTTTGATCCGTGGCCTGTGTAAAAAAAGAGAAGGACCAGAAGTAGTTGTAACATATATGACTGTTCACACAAAAAGAACAGCTGATAGCTATAGCACTCAAGTGATTAGGGACTGGAGAGTGTTACTGCCAGCTTTCAGATAGAGGACAAATGAGAAAAAGGATAAATATGATGAATAAACAATTGGACATACATTAGCCACAGCTAATGGAGCAAGACACTGCTGCATGGCACTGCCCAGGCCATGCAGGAACATCATGCTGTGCACTAACCATACCCATTGGCACAGGTACAGCAGAGGGTTGCTATAAGCTGTACAAGGATCAAGCCTTTAATTCTTGGTACATGATGCCATAAGGATGTGACAATCTGTGGCAGCATAGGATGAAGTAGCTTCGGCTCATTCTACCTATCCTACAATCCAGGAAATACAAGACATTGTAAAAGTACCTGTGCTTTTCTTTCCACTGTCCTGCACCTTCCATGCTTTGCTGCTGGGAGAACCAAGCCCTCTGGGGCATGCTGAAGTGAAAAGGGACTGCTGAGCTTGGCTAACAATTTGAGTTCTTACACACAATCTTTCATCTTATCCCCAGTGGGTGGCCATGTGGATTTTGAAGATTTTGTTGAGCTGATGGGACCAAAGCTGCTGGCAGAAACTGCAGACATGATTGGTGTAAAAGAGCTCCGTGATGCCTTCAGAGAGGTGAGTGCTTCTTACCGTGTGGCCCCAGAGAGGTGAGTGACAGGAAACAGGAAAGAGAGAAGACGTAGGGGGAAGAAAAGAGGAGGAGAGAGCAGCAGAGGGGAAGACTGAGAAAGAGCAGAGGCAGGCATGAAACAAGGGAGGAGCAGAGAAAAACACTAAGATAAGGGAGCTCTTGAGGAAAGGAAGAGGAAAACTGGTGCAGACATGGTAGTGATGAGAGGTTTTTGAGGAGAAAAGGCAGACTGAATCCAGACCAAAAGGAACGTGAAGGAGGAAAAAGAGGGACACAAAAAGCCTGGAGAAAAAATAGGGCACTCAAGAGCAGGGCAATACAAAGTCCAACCCAATGCAAGATCCACTTCCCTTAACTGTATTTCCCCTGCTGGTATTTTTTCATGTACTTGCAGTTTGATACTAATGGTGATGGAGAGATCAGCACCAGTGAGCTGCGAGAAGCCATGAAGAAGCTTCTAGGGCAGCAGGTGGGTCATCGGGATATTGAAGAGATCATCCGGGACGTGGATCTGAATGGAGATGGGCGTGTTGACTTTGAAGGTGAGAAGGGATGAATGCTCCCTGTCCATCTGCTATCGTGTGAGTCAGAGCTTCAGCTTGGAGGTGGAAGCAGAAAGGAAGATTTACATGCTCTGAGTCCAGATATCTGAAATACGGAGGAAAAAAAAGAAATAATTCCTTAGCTGAGTATTTGTGCATCCTTCTTGTGCTGCATCACTATTTCAATCAGGTCTCCGCTGTTCTAGCATAGGAAGAGATATGTCCTGTCACAGAGAAAGAGCTTCTGCTGCTCATATGCAGTGCCAGACTTCATTTTAGGGGGCACTTTCTTTCCATTCAATCTATTGCAAGAGCTGTGAGGAGGCTGGTGTAGGTTTGGAGATTGCATTGCACCCCTCTGGCTCACCTTACTGTCTGGGTTTATAGAGATTTTGCTTCTGTACCTTTATGCCAGAAGTTGGTCACATGCTAGTTGTGTCACTAACACTGTAGATATCTGATCTGGAGGTGTCACGTTTAATCCTAGAGAGAATTCATTTCTTCTCCCACTTCCTATGCCAGAAGGAGTTGGAAAGAGTAAGACTGGTGATGGTACTATCCTGGCCATTAGGCATGGCAAGAGTAATGTTAATAGAGCTCAGGGTTTCTGGTAAGGAAAGCAGTTGCTTGCTATCATCAGACAATTAAGCATATATAAGAGTTGGAAGGCACAAGTACATGGCAGGCTGCTTGTTTTCCTAGTGCAGTTGTTCTAATGCACTGTCTGATTACATGACAGTAGCTCTCCTTGTTCCCCGCAGCTAAATTATGTTAGACAGTTAAAATACATGAAATACTAGTATCATTTTCTCAGTGATTTACTGCTTTAGTTGTCAAAGGACAGCTCCATCAACAGAAAAAGAGAAGCCAAGGGGGTAATTTCCACTGCCCTCCTCTTTGTGCTTATTAATTTCCGGTCAGTTCAAGTGTAGAATGAAAACACATTTATATTTGATGGCATCTACACTCGATTTTAACTCTTGTAATTGACTTCACAAGCTGCAGGGTGGTGAAGAAATAGATCCAGGATATCCTTCCAGTTAATCTGTATCTTCAAAAACAAGTGATCCATCAAAGCAAACTTTTCCCTACAAATAAATACTGGTACCTACCAAAACATTAGTAGCACTGGGTCTCCTACAAGTGGCAGGCTTGCTAAGAGCTTGTGCTGTCATCCCAGGGCTACAAACCAGCCTGCTCTGAAATTACAGTGAAAGGAGGTAACATTTGCAATAATTTGTTCCAGGGAGTTGCTTGTGCAAACAAAGCTGTGCTCTGGGAAGGATCAGAGGAAATGAACTGCCCTGCCAGGGAGATCATATTACCTTACCTAACACAAGGAGTAAAGCCTGTTTTGTGTGAGCTCCTCAGGCCCAGTCACGGAATGGCAGCATGTGGAGCCCCAGTGTCACCCTGGCTGCGTATCTCCATGGAATGAGAGCTGGGCTGGGGACCATGGATGTTTTCTGCTTCAGGTCTGTCTTTTCTTGTTGGTTGCAGAGTTTGTTCGCATGATGTCCCGTTGAAGATTATTCTCAGCTAATGAAAAATCAGCACCTTAGAGAGGGCAGAAGAGGACCTAGATGGAGCATCTAGCCCCGATGTTCCCACAAGAAGGTTTATCGGCTGGCTGCAAATGGGACACTGCAAGATGACCTGCTGCTCCTCCCTCACGGTGGTCCCCATGCCCCTCCACCCTTTCACACTGTGAAAGACTTACAACTTCCTACAACTGGAACCATTCCTTTCAGATGATTGCAGGAAACTGCAGAGCCAGGACTTGCCATGATGCTTTCATGGGTTATTTGCAACTTTAGACTCCTCCTCCCCAGCTTTATTCTCCCACCAGCTGCTGCAAAGCAAGAGCAGGAGAAATCCTCTTGGCTTGGTGGATGAGAGCAAAGCCATTGGAACTGGTGGCAGCCTCAGGGCGTGCTCTGCACTTCTTGGTTTCCCTTGGTGAACCCTGTCTGTGTTTGCTGTCTATGTGTGTGTGTCTATCTGTGTGGAGTTATTTATGCTTCCTCGGCACAAATTTGCATCTCCCGTGGTTATGTTTACCAAAAGTAAATTCAAATACATGTCTTGTGGGGGGAAAGCGATAAATATGCACGCTGAAATGCTGTGGAGCCTGGATGTCCATGTGAGAGGTGGTGGTGGGGCTGGGGGGGGAAGGGCTGTGGCAGACACACACCCTGACGTGCGCATTGGGATTCAGGCCCAGTCCTGGCTGTGGGATGGGGAGACCCTGCCAGCCACAAAGCCTGAAGCAGGGCTCTGCCCTCCCTGCTGCCGGCCCCCACCTCTCCACCCCACTTGCAATGGGGCAAGTGAGAGCTCCTGCAGCCCTGAAGTGAGGAGCAATGGGAGGAATGGCACCAGGTGAGGCGGCCATATCTACCCTCCCATTTTTGGACCATTTCAAACCTGTCTGTCAGCGTATGCACAGTGAAGAGCTGTGTTGTAACTGTTGGTGCTGAGGATTGGCCAGGAGCCCCATGGACTCCTTGTGTGGTGGGGCCCCATTCTCCAGCTTGATCACACTTGAGAATCCTGCATTTCTGCAGCAGTGACCATGGCAGCAGCTTCCAAACCCTGCCTGCTGCATCCAGACACCCTTGTCCTCCTCCTTTCTCCAAGCTGCTCACAACCTCCTGCCCTCTTTTCCTACCCCACAGGACCTGCAGTTACCCCTTTTCTCAATGCAGAGGCTCAGTCATGAGTCACCAGAATCACAGAATCACAGAATTGCCAGGGGTGGAAGGGACCTCAAGGATCATGAATCTCCAACCCCCCTGCCACACGCAGGGCCAATTCCTGCTTGGCTTTAAAAAGGCATCATGATTGCTATAGGTTTCTCAGTGCAACTGGGAGCTGTTTTCCCCCGCTGCCTGCTTCCTCCACATTGGAGATTAGAGACTGATATCCTTCTGCTTTCTTCATCACAGATCTCTCACTTCCCAAGTTCCCTCTCACATTGTCAGGGTCCACAAATCCACATCCCGATGGGGGATTTTCTCTTCTGCTTTCCTGTTGCTGTGCCAACTAAGCATAGTTTCAACAACTAAAACCCAGCAGTGGAAGAACTTTGCTTTTTGTATGTGCATGTAACAGTGTCTGCACAAGCACACGCACTGGCCTAGGTTTGTGTGCACACAAAACAGGGAATGCAAGTAGATACCTGGCAGTGCAGCAAAAGAAGTTTATTTGCAAGTGGGTGTATGCAGACTCTGTCTGTTTATCTTTGTAGCTGGTCATCTTAGGAATGTGTATCTGAGCTGAGAAATTGGAAGATATGTATTTACAGACCTCTTTATTGGCACAGCAGCTGTACTGGGCTTAGGGGAGGGTAAGAGCGATAAACTGAGCAGAGTCCAGAGTCCTGCTGTGCCCTGTGTGTGCTTAGGACAATACTGCAGAGGAGTCAGACCTGTTCAGGCTTGTGTCTGTGTGCAGATGTGCTTTACTTACATTGGAGCCCACTGAGGGAGAAGCATTTATGTGTATGCTGAGAGGATGGATTTGCTGCTAGCCTGTGTGCCACAGTGACTGGCTGGCTGCAGGGACCAGCAACAACCCGGCACGAGCCCTGTGCTGGAGCTAGCATGCAGAAACCCAGCAGGCATTGGTGGGAAAAGGAGCAGCGGCCACTTGAACCAACAGGTTGCTCTGCTCACAGCAGCAAATTGCAAGACACAGCCTTAATTTATTTAAAAAATAAATGTATTTCTGGAGGCTGATTTGCACTGCACAGCATCGCCCCCAAGCACAGCATCACGGTGGCTGGGGATGTTCCCTGCTAACTTATGTGGGTTCCTGTGCCTGCAACCTGGCAGGGCTGTATCTGTCTTCCCCAAAAGCACTGGGGTGCTGGCACGGGGTAGGGATGGCCACAGGGCACCTCTGTGCCATTGGCAGTCCTGGAGCCACAGCTGCTTTCGAGGAAAGCTAAGCCTCTGCCAAACGACCTCTAGCTCTTTCCTGCCAGGTCTTACTGTGATACATCAAACAGGTCACACAGGGCAGGTCTCCAAGCATTCATTTTTGTCCTTACCACAAGCTCTTGCTGATTTTGTTTGCATTACAAAACCCAAATAATCCCAGGGAGTTTTCTTATTTTCTTGTGCTGGCAGGGCCAGAGATTAAAGCTCCAATTTAAATATTCTAATTCCAGAGATAATCCTTTTGCTCTCATCTTCAAACCCCTATTAAGGAGCCTTCCAAATAGCTCCAGACAACGAGGCAGAGCGGGTCCCTCCAGGCACACAAGACCCATGCAGTTGGTTTGGATCTGGCCCAGGCGGTGAGGTTGGCTCACACTGACCTCCAGATATCTCTTCTCATTGCAGCCACAAGGTTTTTTCTCCATCGCTTTTAGGTATCCTGAGTCCTGATCTCTTTTTCCTACAGGGAATGGCTAATAACCCAAAGCACAGCAAGGCTGCAGACCAGGTGGGCCTAATCCCCAGCTGGGAGTTATTTCAGCACAGCTGCCAGGGAGATCAAGGGGCCGGGAAGACAAGTCTGAGCCTTTCACTTGTAGGTTACTGGTCTAAATCCTGCCTGAACCGAGGGACCGGGAAGCTGAATGGATCAGCAGCAGCACACAGAGCCTCTGGGGTGCGACCCAGGCCATCAGCGACCGCAGGCAGCAATTACGTGGCAGCAGCGTGGGACACCACAGTGCAGGTCATCACAGCACACCCACCTTGCTCTGCTGGTGGCCACGGAGCACGGCAAGCACTCTTCCTGCCCCCGGCTGAGCAGCGCCGCTGCCCATCTCGCTCCCTGCTCCCGTTAATCCCTCTCGCTTCGAGACAGCTCGCTAATTATTGGCGAATCATCATCCGGGTTAATTACCGGCACGTGCTCCGGCAGGAGGTGTTGCAACGCTCAGCGCCTCGCTAGCGAATAAGGCTCAGATGGAAGGGAAGCAGAGCACTGAAGAGCCGCGGCCCCCGCTGCCGGCCCCCCTTCCCGCCGCTCTGCTCTCCCGGAGCCCCGGCCCAGCCGCTGCCCGCCCCGGGACGCGCGAGCCCCGCGCCGCTCTCCGCCGTTGCCCGGCAACCCGCCGAGCTCCCGCTTCCCGCCGTCCCACAATGCTTCGCGTTCGGGCCGCGCTGGAGCTCAGTGATTGGCCGAGCGCAGTGGGCGGGGCTCCTCCTCAGGCGCACGGCGCTGGGGGCGGCTCGTCGACCTGCGGCCCCGCTTCGTGCCGCCGCTCCGGTTTGTGCCGCCGCTATTCTTTCCGGGAGAGCCGGTACCGGCCCGGCGAAGTCCCAGTTCGCTGTCGGCGGCTCCGCTCCCCGCTCCGAGCGGCCCGCTCAGCACCGCTCCGCTCCCGCCGGTCACGCCTCCCGCCGCCGCGCCGCCATCCCCACGCCTCCCAGTCGAGCCTGCTCTCCCGCTCCCGTTCCCCATTGGTCGCGCGCCTCATGAATATGTAGATGACGTCTCGAGGCCGTCCAATAGGGAACGGACGTAGATTTAATATTCCATTCGCGGCTTGCGGATTGGTCGGCTCGCGACCCGCCCCGGCAGCGGGTTAGGGCGCCCCCCGGCGGCAGCAGGAAGGGGCGGGCGGCGGGCGCAGCGCCTGGAGCCCGAGATGGTGGGCGCCGGGGCGCGCGGGGCGCCGCTGCCGGCGCTGCTGGTGCTGCTGCCGGCGCTGCTGCGGGGAGCGGCGGGCGGCCTCGCCGACAGCGTGGTCTGGGCCGTTAACGCGGGCGGCGATGCCCATGTGGACGTGAACGGCATCCACTTCCGCAAGGACCCGCTCGAGGGCCGCGTGGGCCGAGGTGAGGCCGGGGGGGCCGCGCCGCCGGTTCCGGCGGGGGGGGGGAGGGCGAGCAGGGGGAGGGCAGCCGGGCCCGGGCCGCTCCTCTCTCGGCTCTCGGCGGGGCCCGTCCGTAACCGCGGCGTCCGGGCCCGCGTCCTGCAGCGCCGCCCCGAGCCCCGCCGCTCAGGGCCCGTCCGCGTCCCCGCGGGGCTGCGGTGCCGGGCGCTGCCGGCCTCGGGGGGGAGCGCGGCCTGCGGGACGCCGTGCTGCGGGGCCGGCGGGCGCTGCTCTGCTGCCCTTCTGCCTCCCCGCTCCTCGTGGAGCGGAGTGGAATTTCGCCTGGGAAGGTGACGTGAACGCTTAGGCAGCCAAACCGGCGGCGTGCGGCCGCCTGGCTCCCGTTTGCCTTTTTTCCACTGCGAGACCCCAGTTTCCACAGCGAGCTCTGCCAGCACGCGTTGCTGCGCCGTCCTCCCGCAGCTCTGCCCCGAGCCGGGCAGCGCCGTGTGAGCGGCAGGGACGGGGCAGGGGCTGAAGCAGAGGAGCCGTTCTCAGCTGTTGCAGCTCCCGGATCGCTGGAAGCTTCTGTCTGCGAGCGGCTGGAAGCTGCTGTCACACACTGGGTTACCTTGCCGTGCTGCCCCCGAAGCCCCCCACATTGTCTGAGTTTTGCCCGTTTCAGTGAACCACATCTCAGTCGGTTCATGAATGCGTTGGAAGCTTCTCTGTGCTGAGCTGCTCCTGCTGCCGCTTGCAGGTGAGTGCAGGAGCGCAGGGAGCTGTTTGTTCTGAGTGTGCGAGGGCTGTGAGGGCTGCCCTGTGCCCCGGGACCTTGTGTGAGGGGCAGCACCGTGCTGTACGGTGAGCCCTCTGTGCACCGTGTGGACAGAGGTCACATTTAAATATTCATACAGGTTCTCAGTTTCTCATCCCCTGCCCTGTTGTGCTGATCCTTCCACGCCCCTCTCGTGTGTGACCAGGAGGAGAATGTCCTGCTGGACTTATTTCTGACTTGAGGAGGAAAAAAGGGTCTTTTCTGAGCACGCTGTGGCTTGCTCCTCCTTTGGGGAAAGCCCGTGTTCTCTGAACAGCAGGCTGTCAGTAAGCCTGCTCTAGCCATTGGTGCCAGGCACGGCCAAGAAGACTTTACCCCTTTGAGCTATTATGTGCGTTTCCTTCAATGGCTTTTTATTGCACAATTGTTTGGTTCATGCCAGGCTTCTCTGTGTAGATCGGCATGTAATGGCTGACTGGGAGTACGTGGCGGGCTGGGAGGGAAGGATGTGGGGCAGCACTTCACCTCTGGGCTTTTCGAGCCTCAGTCCAGATGCTGAGCCCTGAGGAACAGAATGTGCTGGTAGCAATTACGTGTCCGCAATGCGTGCACTTGTCTCTTGGTGAGCTGCCTCTGAGCACACCTAATGCACTGGGAAATCAAGCTCACTTTCATGGCTATGTCCTCTGGGTGACAGCTCTTCCTCTCCAGTTACCTTCTTGGCTATTAATGGGCTTCCTTTATACACAGGCTTTCCTCTGATAGGAGCTGACTTCTGTGGAGCCCTCGGTTTGTGACTGCTGTAATCTGTAGCTGGCCGGAGATGTCTGTGTGGGAGGACAGGTTAAACTTTTCACCCTCTGTATTTCTGCTGATTAGAGCCTCCAGTCTTTGTGCCCTGCTTTGAGTGGCAAAGAGCAGCAGCATGTAATATTGCCTGAGTAGCTGCGTGTGAAACAGGAGATGAAGAACTGGCATTAATTTCCTCTTGCTCGTTTGCATTGACTCCATCTTTGGCAACATGTTCTGGGTTAGAAGTTCTTGCTTTGTCTTGGCCAACGCAGTGTCTGTTCCCATGGAAATAAGGCTGGACGTGGCAAGTGTCAGTAGATAACTTGGTCTGGATCAACTTCTGCTGGCCGAGGTGCCAGTGGGCTTTGGGTGCCTGCAGCCTTCCCTCCTGCATTGCTGGGGCATTATTCTGTTCTGAGCTCTCAAGGCACAGTTTGCATTTACACAGTAACACAAGGCACAGTTTGCATTTACACAGTAACACAACAGAGGGGTAAGAGCTCCTGAGAGCTGCTCTTGTGATGGTGACGTAGGGAGCAAGAAGAGGCAAATGTTATGATTTCTGTTGTTTTCTCAGCTATTGGTAGTGTTGTTTGAGCCCTTCTTAGGGGGCTGTTCAACCTGCAGTTGGTGCCCGTTTCAGCCGAGTGGCTGTGAGATGGAGCCTCTTTTGAAACCCTTATGTACTTTTCCTGCTTCCTTCTTCGAGCTGACACGTACTGCCTGCCTGTGGTGAGAAGAAAGGGTTTTGTAAGTCTTATCTGCTGCTTTTCACCCTTCTGCCATCCCCCAGGTTTTTACTTCTGGAGGGCGAGTCCCTAAAACCTTATGCCACTGCCTGCTAACTTCAAACCTGCTGAATGAATGACTCTAGTCAGTTCTAAAGTGACTGCTTAGGTTCTGTACTCAGAGTTTATACTTCGAAAACGCTGTAAAAATATTCTAGGCGTTTTTCTTCTTTGAAGCAGGAGTCTGGGGCCAAGTCTTCTGGCTCTGTGCCCTGTTTGTGAAACCAACTCTTCTTTTTGAAACTGTGTGAGTGAGTTTTGTCTGTCGGACTGCAGCAGGTCCAGACCCATTTTTCTGCAGGACCCAGGTTCAGGGATTTTGGCTGCTTCTGCTCCAGTAGTGCCTTCTGCTGACCAGAGCAAGGAGTGAGAATGGGTCTCAGTAGGGCAGTGAGTGCTAAGGCCAAGTGGGAATTAAGCACTTAAGAGTAAATAAAGCATCTGTTCACGTTCCTCAGAAATTAACCATTCCTCTCACTGTTCTGTGCTTGAAATACAGCTTCTGACTATGGTATGAAACTGCCAATCCTGCGGTCCAATGCAGAAGATCAGATCCTGTACCAGACAGAGCGTTACAACGAGGAAACCTTTGGCTATGAAGTTCCCATCAAAGAAGAGGGTGACTACGTGTTGGTGTTGAAGTTTGCAGAGGTCTATTTTGCACAATCTCAACAGAAGGTAAGCAGCAGCTCTGTGCTACTCTGAGCTTTCCTGTCTCCTTGATAGTTAAAGCTGTGTATGCCTGGGTTGCCTCTGCTATTTTTTATGCTTTGCATGGAGAAAGTGAAGTGAGATGCTGCAGGTTAACTTCATCTGTAGAGCTCATAAGAGGGTGGTTTGATACATGGAGCCCTCTTCCACGTGACAGATACACGTTTGGCCTGTAAAACTGCATTACAAGAGTGTTCAAACAAACATGTGCAACATCATGAAAGTAGCATTGGATTTTTATGATCTGTTTAGGCTGTGCTGTGTTTGAGAAGTGTTTTTGCCATTTCCCTGGCTGCTTGTGTCTGATGCAACTGCATGCCTTTGGGGAGCAAGTGTTGCACATACTGAATCAGGGAAGTGATCTGGGTTAAATAAACTACTGAAACAATTTGTACGAGTGTGATAACAGTTGATAATAGTTCAAAATGACACTGCAGGCACAGAGTTAAATTCAACCCCTCATCAAAGCTCTCTGGAGATAAATAATCCTTGCCTGCTTTTGAAATCCCTCTTGTAAAGATGTGGAAGCAAAAGCACAAAGAATCCAATGCCCTGTGATAAATTGGGAGAGAAACATGTATTTCAATCTGGCTTTCCCCTCGCTCTGTCAGCTGGTTTAGAGCTCCTCTTAAACACTGTACTGCCATTCTGCCAGAGAAGTATTTCAGGGAACAGAACTGTGGGGCTGCTTTACAGAAAGGATGCAAAAAACAGTCTCAGATTAAGCTGAAGAGCTGAGACATCTCTGGCTCTTCTTCCCTCATGGGGTTCTGCTGGGATTCCCCAGGTGCTTCATGAAGTTTGAGTCATTAAGGCCCCGAGGAGGACTTTCACTCTGAATTCAGATGTGGTTAGCAGTTGATCACTTCATCTCCTTCAAACCCTGCATCCTGTCAGTAGCTTCACCAGTGTGTTTCCTGTTCCCTGCTTTGCTCGGGGCTGTTGGTTAGAAATGGCCTCACTCCCTGGGTGTGGTGTGTCACAGCCTCCCTAGGGTAGGAGCTGGTCCTCAGCCAGCAGGTGGAAAGCTGTGAAAGGAAATGATGAAAAACGGAACAGAATTGTGTTGTCCTCAGTTTTGAACAGCAGGAATTATGGTAGAAGTAAGGGGCAAATTTCAGGATATCTGAAAGCAACGCCTCAATGTCTTTACCCGGCCGCTTTTGGCCTCTGAATCCTTCTCAAGGGAGTAGAGAATGCGTGGTGGTACAGTGCATGTTGCAATGCTTTCTGGTTTTCCCCTTTCAACTGTCGCATGCCTGAATCTGTTCTGACACTGTTGTTTCTTCTGCCCTGGAGGTGTTTGATGTTCGCTTGAATGGCCACGTCGTGGTGAAGGACTTGGACATTTTTGACAGAGTTGGACATAGCACGGCTCATGATGAGATCATTCCCATGAGTATCAAAAAGGGCAAACTGAGTGTCCAGGGAGAGGTTTCAACGTTCACAGGAAAGCTTCATATTGAGTTTGTAAAGGTAACGAGGCTTTGCTGGCCAGAGCCTTTATTTTCCTTTTCCCTTTTCTTTCCCAGCCACGTGATGCAGCTGTGTGCTGGGGGTGGGGGAGGTGATAGTAGGTGGGGAGACTGTTTCTTGAATTATGCTGCAGCACTGACTTCCATCTTCACTTTCTCCAGGGCTACTATGACAATCCGAAAATCTGTGCCCTGTACATCCTGCAAGGAACAGTGGAAGGTGAGCGTAGTTT